TTTCTTCTTAGCCTGAATCTACTTGGTGTACAGATCAAGATCCTCTAAGGGGTCAGCATTGCTGGACACCTTGATCAACCATTCCTTGGTGTTGTCGCGGGCGTGCTGGTAGCCCCAGCGGTGCCACCATGGCCACTCACCTCACCCCACACCAGAGTGGTTTTCTTCTTGGGTCAAATGCCCTTGAGGCGTGCGAACTGCTGCCAGCTTATAAGCTGCATGGCCAGGGCACCAACTTCTTGTGTGGCAGGCAAGTGGTGGGCTCCGGCAGCCACACCACCAGTGCCTCCTCCTTGAGCTCCATGGTTGCTTAGCAGCTGCATGTTGTCCCGCACCAAGGCCCACGGTTCAGCCTCCGGGTATGGGTCCCTGCACTGCAGGCCCATGAAGGGCTTCCAGTCAGAGGCCAGCAGGTTACCCAGGTGGAACTCCAGCTCCAGCTCCTGGTGCACCGTGATGCGCTGCATTTTCTTGGCTTCATCCTGCTCGGTCTTTGCCAGAAGCTTCTCCATGCTCTGTACCTCCATGGCTCCAGTTTGACTCACTAGCTCTAGAAGACAGATCCTGTTTGATACACTTCTGTTCCCCTTCCCACCTCTGTTCCCACGCAAACTTTTATAGAACACCCCGTTTAAAACGTTGTTTCTACTGATTCTTGTTGAAGTGTTCCTTCCTTCCTTCAACTGTCTGACTGATACAGTGTGCCAGATACAGTGCCAAGGCTGCTTCAGTGAGGGAAAACAGAACTGGCCTCTGCTCTCCAGGTGCTTAATGGTGAGTGAGACAGAGAGATATTGATCAGAAAGTCTCCTCAATGTGTGCATGATCTAAGAGAAGGGAAGGAACATGGTGCTACAACCCAGAGAGTCTGGGAAGGCTTCCCTGAAGGGTAACACCTGAGCTGAGATCTGAAACGTGAGTGGGATTTGGAGAGCTGAAGGATGTACAAGGGGAGAGCATTGTGGAAAGGCGGCCACACACAGCCCAGAGATTGCAGAAGGAGCAGTGTATGGTGGAGTTGAGGGCAGATGACAGGAAGGAGTCAGACCCATCAGGCATCTATGATGCTGGCAATTCAGATATGTCAAAGACAAGTCATAGTGCTTCTTTTAAGTGGAAAGGTATGTATGTATAAGAAAAAACATACTGTATATAGGGTTCAGTACTGTCTGCAGTTTCAGGCATCTGCTGTGGATCTTAGAACATGTTCCTCACGAATAAAGGGGGACTGTTATACACCAGAGAATCTTAGTGTTGGAAAAAAGGGATGTTAGAGTTCATTTTGTCTAGCCTTCCCATCCTTCATGTCTTCCTTCTTCTGTCTGTCACTTTGAGTCCTTCCCAAAGACCTCTGGAAGGTGGTTCTTTGGTGAGCATGGATGTATTTGGTTTTTCAGGAGTCGCTCATGATCAGGGATATGGCTGAGGCTCTCGTCCAGTGGAGACAGCTGAACCCTCCGCAGGCAGATGTGCCTCAGAAGCATAGGAATCTGGTCTTGCTGGGTAAGGATAGTTCCTCGGTCCCTGTGAGCTTTGCTTCCTCAGTTCCAAGGAACTCGGAGGTTCTTAGATTAACCAGTTAACTGCCATGATATTTTGAATTTAATTTAAAAGGTCCACCACTTTTATCTATAGTTGCTTATGGCATACAAATGGTTAAAAGAGTCTTAATTTCTAAAGGGCCTGAGACATGTAATTTCTGCTTTTTGTTTCTGGATATTGTTAACCCCTACAGTCAGAAATGGACTCCTTTTTATTGAATTAGTAATAGCCTTCTTTTCTATTATCTGACCAAAGATATTAAGATGAAGTTCTAGTAAAAATACCTCTTAAGAAGTGGGTGCTTATTATTTTAATAGGGAGAGGTAGAAATAGGGACTTAATTGTCCTGAACTCAAATAGACCCCATATCAACCTTCCTGTCTCCTGAGCACTGGTGAGGGAGAAATCCAGAACCCACCTCTCATATAGTGTCTTTCCTAATGACCAAAGAGCTAATCCTGGGCTTTTTACCAGACTTCTTTTTCTTTCCATGAACAGGGCTTCCAATTTCCAAGCCTGATGTAATCTCTCAATTGGAGTCTGGGGAGAAGCCGGAGAGAGAAGCCTCAAAAACCACTAGTCCAGGTGAGTGCACGTTGGAAACAGAGAACTTAAAACCCTCATGGCCATTAAAATGCTTGTGAAGGAGCCTTTCAGATTTTGCTAGACCATAGAAAAGTTGAAGTCCCTTTCTCCTGTGCCACACTTTACCCTCTGTGGATGGTGATCCTATATAATAAAAGGCTAATATGCAAATTGACCAAATTGCAGAATGACCGGTTGCTATGACGTGCACTGACCACCCACGGGCAGATGCTCAACACAGGGGCTTCCCTGAATGGTCAGTGCACTCCCACAGGGGGAGCACTGCTCAGCCAGAAGTGGGGAGTGGGCTTAAACTGTCAGTTGGACATCCCCTATGGGCTCCTGGACTGCAGAAGGACACAGGCTGGGCTGAGGTGGCCTCACCCTCCACCCCACGCCCCCTGAGTGCACAAATTTTGTGCACTTGGGCCTCTAGTCTGTTATAAATTCATAATTTTATATTTTAGAAAGTACTTTCTACTCTTTTAAACCAATCCCCCCTCTCCCCAATTAGGTGAAATGAAAGTAGCATTTTAATGTATGTTAATAATTTGCATGGGTGCAAGGCTCTAAACCAGGCTTTTCATGTATGTTATTTTACCGCTGAGGGTAGTGTAACTCTTTGTCTAACAGCAATGGCTATAAATTGATCTCTGGATTTCCCCTTGCCTTCTTCTATTTAAGCAGAGGCAGCATAGCATGTGGTTATGAGTTCAGACTTAGGACCCAGCCTTCCCAGGTCCAAGCCAAAATTTCAGCTACTCAAGCTCTGTGACCTGTAATAAGTTAATTATCCTCTTAGCTGGAAGTCCATTTCCTGTAACCTGTATCTATCTATTTGTCCTTTAAAATCTCAGGCACTTCCCTAATTAGGATATGTAGTTGAGAACATTTGATTATATTGACTTATTATATATACCATCATGGTTGGAATGGATATTAAAGACCAGTTAAGCCTGGAAATGTTTAAACGTTTTTAGCAGTGAAGCTTCCCCTCCAAATCTTTACTGAAAAGGCTAGCATTTGGGGGTAGCAATCCTGACAGGTTGGGGACCAATCTGAGTACATGGGATTTGACCTTGCCCTCTCTACATGCTATTCATTTAAAAAGAAAACCAACCAACTTAGTTTTATTTTACTCTTTGCAGTTTGTGGGGTATAGAGCAGTCAGAGAATGACTAGTTGCTTCTGAATTACTAAGCTTTGTGATGATTTGAATTTGTAGATATTTTTTTAAAGTGTGTTTTTATTGATATTAGAGAGAGAGAAAGGGAAAGGGAGAGAAACATGGATGTGAAAGAGAAACGTCAATTGGCTGCCTCCTGCACGGCCCCTATTGGGGACTGAGCCCACAACCCAGGCATGTATGTGCCCTACTGGGAACATTTTTTTAAATATATTTTTTATTGATTTCAGAGAGGAAGGGAGAGGAAGAGAAAGATAGAAATATCAATGATGAGAGAGAATCATTAATTGGCTGCCTTCTGCATGCCCCCTACTGGGGATTGAGCCCACAAGCCGGGCATATGCCCTTGACCGGAATTGAACCCAGAACCCTTCAGTCTGAAGGCCAACACTCTATCCACTGAGCAAAACTGGCTAGGCCACTACTGGGAATTGAACTGGCGACCTCTTGGTGCATGGGATAACACTCAACCAACTGAGCCACACTGGCCAGCGTGAATTTGTAGATCTTGACCATTTTGAATGCTAGTTCCTAGAATATGTGTCTCGTCTCAAGACAGTAGAATGTAGAGGGCCGCCTGGGAGGCACCTAGGCATTTTCTTGTAATTATTGTCAGCTGAACTCAGAGCATAGGCAGAGCCACGCCCTGGGAACATGCTTTCCCCAAGAAGGCTGGACATGTTAATCAGTCAGGGGTGGAACTAGATATGTAAATCTAGGCCTTTAAAATAAAACTGCTGTGTGGCTCAGGCCGCTTTTTGCCGCCTCTCCATCAGAGAGGATGGCGCCCACCTGGCCCCAGCTTAAAATCTATTTCTGCATCTTGGTCTTTCTTTAATTTCTTAATCCCCAGCTCCTCCACTCAGCAAATGGACTGTTTCCTTTTCCATGCGGGACATGGAGAAGAGAGAAACAGCCCCCCACAGTAGAACTAACAGATTTTTGTGTGAGAGTGGTAGTTTTGGAAGGGTTAGTCTGTTAGCGTTGAGTGGGATATTTTGGAATGGGAAAAGATTGGCAGAAGGAGATCATCTAATGAGAGTCATTCTAAAGGTGTGAAGGGATAATGCCACGGTGTGGTGCTGGCAGTGGGCAGTCTCTGGGAAACTATTTCTCTGATCCCAGACCTGTTTCCCCAGACTGTTTTTATACCTCTGCTTAGTCTTGTTCCATTAGTTTTTCTCATTTCCTAGCCGCTGGACAGAGGAATTGTGAAGGCCTACTCACCCTCTCCCTGTATGCAGCTGTACTTCTTTGCCCAGTCATCTTTCTTTTCTCCTGTTCTCTTAAGATTGCAAGGCTGTTTTGAGAGCTTTTAAGTTCATGTGTTCCCTGTAGCATTTTTTGTTTGTTTTACTGTTCCCACCACAGTAATTACTTTACTCTCAGTTTAGGAAATGATACATGTTCATTTTTGTTTCTGTTAGATGGGGAGATAAGACCAGAAGGCAAGGAGCTAACTCGAGAGCAGGATGTTTCTGAAGAAGAGTCAGCCCCTGGAGTGTTAATTGAAAGATTTCCAAAGGAAGGTGACAGTGGATGTGAGGATTCTCTAGAGAGGCAGAAGCAAAACCAGGAGAAACATTTAATACAAGAAGTTGTCACTCAGAAGAAATCTGGGGAGAGAAGTTACCAGTGTGATGAATTTGGAAGAAATTTTGGCCAGAGGTCATTACTTGTTCAACAGCAAGGAGAAAGACTACGTAACTGTGATTCATTGAAAAAGAACCTAAAACAAAATTCAGATCTAATGAGGCATAAGAGAATTTGTGCAGGGAAAAAACCCTGGAAGTGTAATGAGTGTGAGAAAGCCTTTAGTTACTACTCAGCTTTTGTTTTGCATCAGAGAATTCACACAGGAGAAAAGCCCTATGAGTGTAATGAGTGTGGCAAAGCCTTTAGCCAGAGCATACACCTTACTCTCCACCAGAGAATTCATACCGGAGAAAAGCCCTACAAATGTCACGAATGTGGGAAAGCCTTTAGTCACCGATCAGCCCTTATTCGCCATCACATAATTCACACTGGAGAGAAACCCTATGAATGCAATGAATGTGGGAAGGCCTTTAATCAGAGCTCATATCTCACTCAACATCAGCGAATCCACACTGGAGAGAAACCTTATGAGTGTAATGAATGTGGGAAGGCCTTCAGCCAAAGCACATTTCTTACCCAGCATCAGGTCATTCACACTGGAGAGAAACCCTACAAGTGTAATGAATGTGGGAAAGCTTTCAGTGATCGTTCAGGCCTCATCCAGCACCAGAGAACTCATACTGGGGAGAGGCCTTATGAGTGTAATGAATGTGGGAAAGCCTTTGGCTACTGTTCAGCCCTGACTCAACACCAGAGAACTCACACAGGGGAGAAACCCTATAAATGCAGTGATTGTGCCAAAGCCTTCAGTGACCGCTCAGCCCTCATCCGTCATCAAAGAACACACACTGGGGAGAAACCTTACAAGTGTAATGATTGTGGGAAAGCCTTCAGCCAGAGCTCATCTCTCACAAAGCACCAGAAAACTCACACTGGAGAAAAACCTTATAAGTGTAAGGAATGTGGAAAAGCCTTCAGCCAGAGTTCATCCCTTTCTCAACATCAGAAAACTCATGCTGGAGGGAAAACCAAAGAATATGGAAAAGTCTTTAGTGAGCATTCAGCCTTTGGCCAGCAAAATAGAATTCATAATGGTTAAAGACTGTAAATTTTTTCCTGGGTGTGACTAATCATCTGAGTAGTTATCTCAATCAACAATTCTTGAGGGGACAATTGTTGATTGAGATAACTACTCAGATGATTACTCATATCCAGGGAAAAATGAGACCTGTGAGTTACCTAGTCACAAAGTTCCCATGAGGGCAGCTTCCCCTGAATCCACAGCACATTGGCCTGGCAGTTCACTTTTGCACTTTGTGTCTTTTAGATCTTGCTTATTGAGACATCTACTGAAAATCGTTAATTACCAGGGTCAGACCTGTAGCCTAGAAAGGGGGAGTACAAAGAGGCCTTTGATGTTTTCTGTGTTTTAAGCTGAGTTACTTGATAATGCGCTTATTTATGAAGATTTACCTTCATTGTATGTAGTTTGTACTTTAGACTTTTTCATACCATAGTAAAATTTAGTTGTAGGCCTGAACTGACACTGAATATTAGGTTGTGAAAATTTGAAAAGACTTTGAAATACTTGCCTTTCACCATTTTATTCTTGGGTAGAAGAAGATGACATGATATATTTTTTAATTGAAACTTTGAAGGTTATTATTAGAAACGTTTTGAGTGCTGTGTTTTTAATTTTTGAATTTGACTAAGATATATCGTTGTGTAGATTTCTTTGAATTTATCCTGTTAGCTTGAATCTGTAGGTTTATGTCTTTTGTTAAATTGGGGGAATTTTCAGCTATCATTTCTTTGAATACATTTTCAGCCTCCACCTCCCAAACCTCTCCTTCCAGGATGCTGAAACAAATGTTATGTCGTTGCTTGTAATATCACAGGTTCCTGAGACTCTATTCATTGTTTTTCACTATATGTTTATCTTAATCTGCTCAGGCTGTCATTAAAATAACATGCCATAGACTGGGTGGTTCAAACAACAGAAATTTATTCCTCAGAATTATGGAGGATGTAAGTCCAAGATCAAGGTGTCAGCTTCGGTCTCTGGTCCTGGATCTCTTCCTGGCTTTCTTGCCTGCCGTATCCTTACATGGCCTTTCCTTGATGTATGCCTGTGGAAAGAGGCAAGATCTCTCTTCCTTAGCTTTAAAGGCCACCAGTCCTATCAGATTAGGACCCCAACCTTATGACCTCATTTAACCTTAATTACCTCTAAAAAGTCCTTTCTCCAAATACTGTCACATTTGGAAGTAGCATTCAGCATATGAATTTGGGAGGGACACAATTCATAGCATTTGCCCCTGGCCCCCCAAATTCACATTCTTCTCACATGCAAAATACATTCATTTCATCCCAACAACTCTCAAAAGTCTTAACTTATGCTAGCATCAACTCTAACGTCCACAGTTTCACCTACATATCATGTAAAGCAGGTATGGGTTAGACCAGCCGTGGGCAAACTACGGCCCGTGGGCTGGATCTGGCCCGTTTAAATGAATAAAACTAAAAAAAAAAAAAGACCGTACCCTTTTATGTAATGATGTTTACTTTGAATTTATATTAGTTCACACAAACACTCCATCCATGCTTTTGTTCCGGCCCTCCGGTCCAGTTTAAGAACTCATTGTGGCCCTCGAGTCAAAAAGTTTGCCCACCCCTGGGTAGACTCAAGGTACATTTCAGACTCAAGGCACATTCCTCTCTGCTGTGAACTTGTGAAACCAGACCAATGGTGGGACAGGCCCAGGACAGATGATCTACTCTAAAAGGAGAGGAAGGAAGGAG